TTCCTTCTGCAGAACTACAAACATTGTTCAGATACTGCAAGAGGATATTTTCATAGTTTGTATTGTAATGAAAACAATAATAAAAACTTTGGGCAGCTTCCAAAGTAACTCCTTATGGATTCATCTTATTCAGTAAACTGTTCTTCCAACAGTATTTTATGTTATAAACAAAAGAATCTGAACGGGTCTTATGACATTAACACAAAGAAAAAGGCTTCATTTGCTGTAATGACACACCTATGAGCAGCATTTTAACATCTCACGGCTGTGAATTCCTTTAGACAAAAGTAAAAGGGTGTCATTTCAAGCAAATGTGGCCAGAAAACTCTTCAGTTTATGTTACTATCTGCAAAATGCTTTAGGAAACCCCTTCATCTTCATGCATATTTCTTTATGGCATTATTCTTTAATTATCTCAAATGTAAACATTACAGAAAGGACTAATTAATTAGAAAACCTTTTACACTAGACACTTGATGTCTAGAAAAATTAACAGTTGTTCTTTAGAGGGTCTGAGATCTGATGAAAAGAGGTAATTTGAATTAGTTGTGGATAGTTCACATAAGTGGATAATTAATTTTCTTCATATTTTGTCCTAGATTTCATTAGGCAACACTTATAAACATGTCTGTGCTAGTGAAAAGATGTCAGAATTCAGGTTAGATTATGAATCCTCAGGAAAAAAAAAACAGAACCACAAGCATAATCATAAAGCAAAACCAGAAAGAAGAAACTTACTGAGAATTCAAAGCATTATTCTGTCACAGTTTAAAAAATTTCTATTGGAAATTAAGGGAATATGACCCTCATCTCTGAATGTAAACTAAGATCTATGGGACTTCCAAAGTAGCAAAGGCAATATTCTGCTGTTTTAACCTGATAGCTACAGTAATGAAATAACAGGAGTACTATTCTTAAAACACAGAGTAGCACACTGTATTTCATTTATTTATGTGTTTATATGTTTGGTGTTTCACATAACAATTTATAACACCAAGACATTTCTGTATTCAAGGGCTGGGTTTTCTTATATTTGCTTATTTATGTTAGGATAAAAAAATTTTGCCTAATAAAAATTACATTCTATTGCACAGGATATATGTAATAACATACTTAATTTTTATCTTGAAAACAGGCACTATGAGAGATGAGTTCTGATTGCGACAAAAACTGCAAAAGGGGTTGCCAGGACATATCTTGTGGGAAAAATGTCATTAGCACGTCAGCACGTGTCCTACTCAAGCATTAGTTTGGGGAGTGGTAGTTGGGATATAGCACTACTGATAATTCAGATTTAATTCCAAATCATCTGGCTGCTGACCACATGATCAGCAGTGTTAGCCCTCATTTAGGTTCTATCCTAAGAACACAGTGTGAGTTTGTTTAACCAACCAGCTGCATGGAGATGGGCTAAAGGATGAAGGTGGAGCCCTATTGTTGCTTACACCATCAAGGAGGTAGAGCATGCAGTGGTGCAGCATATGCTGGTCACTCACTGTATAAAACTAAGCACTGTAAAATTTTCCTGGGATAAATGCAAAGGATTTGCTTCACTTGAGCCCAGAGGAAGTCACTAGGGTATACTGAGGCTTATATTCAAAGCTTTTCTGGCTCAAGGTCTCTAGATCATTTTTGTGGATGCCTTGGGCCTCCACATCCTCAAGAAGTTGTTTTTAGAGATTATCTTCTTACACACCATCCATACAAACAAACATGATTACTAGTGGTTTTAAGTGCCTGTTAAACTTCAGTACAGTATTTACTAGATTCAATTTCAGATCTGGAATTCTGCTCCTTGCTGGTTTGAAAGCAAGTGTTTTCAAAAGTCTCAGGCATCTACTGCATATGAAAACCCCAAAAGCTGTAGAACTACTTAAAAGCAGTTCAGGCATTACAGACTGCTTTAGAAAGGCAGATTTTTTCTGCAAAAAAAATTTAGAAATCTTATCCAAAAAAGCAAAGCAAGAAGATCTACTTCGAAAGAAGATTGATCTTATGAACCTGAAAGACAAAGGAAGTTCTGCAGATTCCTACAGATATATGAAAATTATTTTAAAATAACTACAATGTATTCTTGAAAGATAATTATGCTGACATTGGAACAGCTACTGTAGCTTTCTGTGCCTACACAACATCTGTCTCAGGCACTGAAATAACCATATTGAAAACAACATAATGCTTCTGCTTTCAGAAATAAACCTCCAACCCAAACTATTTACAATATTCTCTACTTTATCTAATCAAATTTAAATAAAAAAATGTGATTTCAACTTAACTGCTCTGCATTTTACTGTGGTTTCACTAAAATTGTGGAGGCCTTAGATTTCAACGAAATAAACTTCTTACCAGTCTTTAACAATAACACTTCAGCTTTTTCAGCACTCTATTAAAAAAAAATAGAATAGGTAATTAAGGCAACTTACTGTAAAAACAACTTCATTTTGCTTTATTGAAAATAAAGATACTTTTTAAATGCCAGCATAATTTACTCTGCCAAGTAAGGTTTAGAATTAGCAACATGACACTACTCAGTGAAATCTGGTGTAAGACTTCTACAGCCTTCACTAAGTCAGCTTCAAACTACAGGAAGACAGAAGGTGGGCTAAACCAGAAGGTTAAATCAGAAATAAATGCAGCCCCTGCCTGGTTTGCAAGGAGACATGAGGAGAAACTGGGATGCAAAGTCAAACTATGTCTCTGAATCATTTTGAGCTGGTCTGAGGGAGACTTCGGCCTGTTTCAGTGCTCTTGCTAAATCTCTCACTTAATGAAAAACTTTTTGGCACATAATGTTTTGAAACTTGCACAAAACTCCCGAAACCTCAGGTAGTCATGGTGTGCCAACGAAAAGGAGAAAGTTCTTAGATTTATGTGCTTGTTTTTATGATGCTTTTGTGATTTAAACCTGATATGAATTTGGTTTCCTCTTCGTTGAGCAGACCCTTAAGAAGGTCAAGTACAAATTGTTGTGTTTGGAAGGTCAAATTCTTCAGAATTAAACTAATCCTCTAATTTAAATTTTTTGCAAATATTTAAGAAAAATACATTTCTTGTATTTCTTTTGGAGGAGAGGATAGAAAGTAGCAAGTGTGTTTTCCACTCTGCAGTTCATTATTCAATTCTTTTTGCAGAGTAAAGTTTCTGCCTAATTGGGTTCAAGATAATTGACAACTCTACCAGATTTAAAGGATAAGCCTCTAACAGAAGCAGAGCCTATATATACATAAACATACAAATAATTTTATCTACTTCCATATACATAATTTTTTAAGTGACTGGATAACAAACTGGACCTTGAAACACAATTGGCCTTGAAAAACAAAACATTCAACTTGTGAATATTCTTGATCATATTTTTAAGGATACATAAAATTTTCCTATCAAAATAAATGTTTAGATTTAATATATTTTGCATATTTTCCTTTAATTCTTAACCAGCTATGCATTTGTCACAGATGACTTCAGTATTATCTGTCCTTTTTTAATCATACTTTATTTGGCATATTTATCACCATTACTTGAGACATTTTTTAGCTTCCAGAATATTTTGTTCACATCATTCTATGCAATGCCAATTATTTTTATGTCTTTGCCTTTTGCATCAGTACATATTTCTGATATATACTGACTCTCACTGATATCCTAAATTATTTTTCACTAGAGGATGAAGATTTTTCATGATGCTTCTAATTCTTCATCAATCACTCTTTGGTAGGCCATAACCATTTTTTCTTCTTCATGATGCCATTTCATTTTCCCCTCACGATAAGCATTTGTGTTGAGCTCCAATTCAGAGTGAAAACCCCATATAACTAATTCCAATGATTTATTTATGATTTAATTTTGGACTTCATCATAAACAATGAGAAAATTAAGTGCATTTCAGCTGCGACTTCCAGATAAATTCAAAGGAATCAGGTACTCAAATGTTACTGAATTTTAAAAGGAAATCTCTTTCTTGTCACAGTTTTATCTTATCACTGTTCTGCACTTTGAGCCTAGCCCAGATCACATCTAGATGACTTTTAAAGATTTGTAGTACTTTCAGTGATTTTCAGTTAATCATGAGAGGCTTGAGAGCCTGTCACACATAATACTGCAGCCCTGTGCCTCTCATTTACAGTATTTTCATGACTCTGTGGGCTGCTGGTGATTCCACCCATAGTTGTAGGTCTCCAACAGGATGGGCTCTAATGAGGTTGAGAAGCAAAGCAGAAAACAAGACTTAAACTCTCAAGACTACCAGAAATTCGCCAGTCATATAACACTGACTGAAAATCATCACAGAGTTTTCTCAATATATTTACTGCATGATCTTTACAGATGGTTTTTAAGAAACACATTGATTAACTAGCCAGCTGACCATTTACTGAGCACTTTGTGCTTCAGATCTGTCAGACCTCCACTACACATCTATTTGAAAATGCAATCCAGTTGCTATGGCTACAGCAAGCTCCTATAGGATGGCTGCATTTAGCTGGCACATCCCAACCACCCAGAATGCTAATGAAATGGAAGAGTCCATCTATATGCACAGCAATTCAAAGGCATATTTTACAAATCTAAAATATTTGCACTTTGTCAACTGCAAATACAATTATCTTATTTTCCAATTAAACAAACAAACTCCAGACTCTTTGCAGAAGCCTTTTCTCTTTGTTTGCCCTATAGGCAGATTTCAATTTTTATGAAATTTTTTAAAAAACTGAGTTTAAATTATGTGGCTCAACAGAAATAAATATCTGTTTTTCTAAAACACAATTGAACAAATAAAGGTAATAGTGATTTCACATTAGTTATATACAATTGTATTAAACAGAAAAATTAAATGTAGCAGCTTTTACTTGGTTTTGGCCTTATACAGCAAAATCCATGAAAGGTACTCTATTGTGTGCATGTTTACCACAGAATTTCAACTACAGGATAACATTAACCAATTCAGCCAATGGTGGTAATGGTACAGTTATGTTTAGAAAGGACAAATATGAAGTTATTTCTACCTGCATATCAATTCTGCTTGGAGCCGTTGGACCGCTGTGGGATATGTTGAAACCTCTGATGTAGGTCCACTTGGGTGCTGATGATCTTGCAGGAGGTTTTGGGTCATTACAGCTAAAAATCAGTGTCACCTTTTCTCAGGGAGTATTTAAAATACATCTTCTTAGGAACATGCTCCAGAAACTATGGCTGTTGGCTATTACCATTTCTATTCGTATCTGTTACCTGATGTTCTCTCGAGGAACTCTTACACAAAAATCCAGTTTGGATGTTGTGGTAGTTTGGGCTAGGCCTTCCTTGGTGACCAGTTTGTAACCAAGGAAGGGCCCAGATTTACCCAGTATTCCCTACGATTTTTACATAAGCCGGGCTACAAGAAGAGAGGAGGAGAGGCCTTCGCTCTCTTTCCTTCCGGAGGCTTTGGAGGTGCAGGTTCCCTGCTGTTGAGTCTGTCGGGTTGGGGAGCGAGGCCTGGTTGGGCCTTGTCGACCTTGGGAGATGGAGGTTGCCGGCGATTGTTCCAGCGTGACTCTCCATTGTCCCAAGGAAAGTAGTAAGATATTCTTTGCTAATTTCTTTTAGTTGCTAGATCTCGGGCTACTGATTGGGATATATATATTTTTTATTTTGGTTTTGTTCCTTTTCCCTTCCCCCTTCCCGTTCCCTTGTGAAATTGTATATATATTTCAATTGTATATAACTGTAACATAAGTGTAAATATATTTTTATATATTGCTTTAGTTGTCTCTCGTTTCGGGTTTTCTTGGTTGTTTTTCTCCCTCTTCTCCCTGAGGTTTGGGGGGGTATGCACTTCTTGTGGTAACGTTTGGAGACTTGGCAGGGAGGCAGCTTCAAACCATATCAATGTTTAGAAAATATCTAAATATACACACACAAAAAAAAAAACCAACAAAAAATATATATACACATATACACACAGACACATATGGGCATACCAAATGTTTCATTTCAGACCTACTGATGTTACTTGTGTCTTTATCACTTATTTGTTTGATGAACTCCTGCTAAAGGTGAACAAAAAAATTCCAGTATTCATATGGATTCCTCAAGATATATCTGTTGCCTTAGAGATGGTTGACTACAATTGTTATCACTGAAGCATCTGGGGATACTGCTCAGATTTAGCAGATTTTTTGAGAGGAATTGCATACTAGGAATAGTCGGAGTCTTAAAATAAATAAAAATTTTAAGCTTATAGAATCTTACACTTAGGAAACTGTATATGCAGGTGAAAGACTCAGGTTCCACATCACAGTATATTTGTATATAAGCACTAGGAGAAAATAGTTTTTCTATTATCCTGTAACTGTCTTTCACTGAATCTCTGCACCGTATTACAAATAAAAATAGAAGCGCCGGATGCCCTGAAAAAGGAAGTATTGTTTTGTACAAATCTATAAAAGATTTTTCTTTAAAAATAAAAAACCCCAACAGAATAAAAAATAGAAGCAATAAAAATATTTCACTATTCACATGCAATATCATTAATCCTTTGCTGATTTAAGACATTACTCATAAGAAAGGCCATTATGTTACATCTCCACTTGAAATATTACAGTTTTGTGAATATTCTACATCAGAGGTCTAGAGAAAGCATCAAATTATCTTAAGTTGAATGGGTAGATTCAATATGCCTGCAGAGTGGTGTAAAGGGATGCAGACTGGTGCAGGGATATATGTCAGAACATGCCAAAACAAAATAATATCTGAAAAGACCATATCTAATGCTTTGTGAGAAAGTGTTTATTACTGACTATTTACCTGCTAGTTGCCTTTGGAGCAGGAAATGCAAAACTGGATTTAAACTGATCTTTCCTTTTTTGGTAGAATCATCACTGGCCTTTGCCATGGAGTTTACAGAATCTTACATTGCTGAAATTGTGACAGTCACTTAATATTCACCTAACAAAAAAGTATCTTCCACTGGGATTTAATTCTGATCTTGGGACACAAAGTGAGGTACTGCCAGTGCATGTGCTGCCTTCACAGATGTAATGCAGGACTAATTGAATCCTGCTCCATTTTTATGAGATGGCACATTAAATAATTCTCATATTAGATTGCCTTTCCGTTAAAGGACCCCTTTAGTTCATGCAACATTCATAGACAGGCATATCAACACAAACAGGATTATTAGTTAGACAGCTACTATGATGTAAATGAAATGTTACTAAGTTATGGACGCAGGCATTCATAAAACATTTTTAACCACTACATCCTGATCTTGCTCAGAGGGCACTAAAGGCAGAGGCAGATAAAGTATAAAGAGGAATGCAGCCTCTGCCTGCACAGAAAGCTTGTGCTGCACTTAATGGCATATTCCAGAATGTTTAACCCTTGCACCTCTCTCCCTCTTTAAACTCAGGAACACTGAATCTGGTCAGAGGAAGTTTAAAATATATGTGAGTACAGTGCACTCTTCTGCTTATCTTGGTGCTAAGAGCAGTGCCTCTGAACACCCAGAGGAAATCGTTATGAAATTTCAGAGTGCATAAAAAGGAAATGGACAACTCACTGCCTTTTTCATATAACCCAGTCTTTACATGAGAAAGACAGTTACTAAATGGTCAGTCACTGCCTGCTTCTCCCGTTGTCTGCACTTGTAACTTCCTTCCCCCTGCACACAGCTGTGCACTTTATTATTGAAATTATAACCTGAAGGTCTTTTAAATATACAGCAGTGCACAAATGCCTGCTAAGTAGTGGGATGTAATATTATGGAGAGTTAAGGTAGCTACCAATAATAAGTTAAACAAACAGTGTTGAATCACTGTTGTCCCTTGTGTTCCTAAATTATAGGGCAGATACAGTTGTTAGTGCAGCACAGCACAGGGAATTCTCAGCTAATAAAAATTCACAAAGGCTTTAGGTGAAGTTTGTAGAAACATGACTGAATTTGCACCGATGCCCCAGCTGAAGGTGATGTTGGTATAGTAAGGGCCAGCTAATATATCCCTGAAAAACTAACTTAAATATAGAAGGGCTTCTTCATATATCTCATTTTTTCATTGCCTTTAAAATTTTTCCTGCCCATCAGCTACCTTTTTTTTCCCTGTTCTAGTGACTGTATCTCCCACTATTCAAGAGGAAGATAGGTCAATCTCTTTAACATTCCCTAGTTCAGATTTTCTTCCAGCCTACTCAAGTTCAAAGGATATTATAACAACCAACTGAGGGCTGTACTCACAGGCTAGTATCTGTATTTATCTTCATATGTTTCACTGGAAAATGGACACAAAATGAAGAGTATTTTGTCCTCAATCACAAACCTTCATAAACTGTGGTAATTAAAACCCTAAAATTCCTGTGAAGCTTAGAAGATGCTCAGAGACTTGCCCATTGAAGATGGTCAAAGTGGCTGCCTCTGTGGGAGGCCTCATATGCCTTCAGTTCCTCCTTTCTAGCACCTCTAAGCTTCTTGCCAGCCATGCACCTCGTACAAAATTATCAGGCATAAGAGGGCACGACACTTCCCCAGTAACTGACTTTAAAGGTGCTGCAGCTCCGGAGGTCCTGAGTTTGTGGTTTACTTCTTTACAATGCAATTTACTAACTTCATCCACAGCTAAGAAAACAGACAACTGTGATCCTTCTCTTTCCCCAGATTTACAAATGAAGTGACTAAGTTCTACAAAGTTGCTACAAGCAAAATTAGGAACATTATCTAGGTCACTAACATGACAAGGCCACCTCTTATGCATTCAGCTCTTGATACCTTTCAGCTCACTAGAGGACTAATAACAGGGAATTTTGCTGGAAGCTATAAACTCTTCAATTGCAGATGTCACAAAGAAACCCAGCTATATTAGTCACCAGTTACAGGATGAGCCACCAATGTGATACAAGTGCAAAAAAAGGTAAATGAGCAGCTAGAGAGAATCAAACCAGGCATTTCCAGAAGAGACTGAAAAACATTAATCTTTGTCAAAATGATGTTATTCATACCTTTAAAAGTTAAGTGAGACTGAAACACACACAGGAAAAAAGTTACTGTCACAGGAATGAAGAGACTATTACACGAGAAGAAAGTTAGAGAAGCTCATCAGAATGTTCTCTATATATACATTTCAGCGTAAAGACCAGGGATTTAAAAGAATAATTTAACCTAAAGGTTAAAGTTGTTAGATGAAGAAATGCATATAAACTGAATTCTCTGAGACTGCAAATTAGTAGGAGGACTCTAGCCAACAAGACAATGACATTTCTAAATAGTACAGGAGCCAAGACAAAAGTTCTATGTACTGTGAAATTTGATCCAAAGTTTATGAAACAGCAATGGCAATGTGATTTATTGATCCACGTAACTTCTTCCAGTCCTTGTTTTCTAATACACTTCTTCCAGAGGCACAGAGAGAGAGCCAGGAGGCTTAATATCCAACATGTATCTATTTCATCATAAACACAGCACCTCATAGCCCCTAGAGAAGACAGCAACCTCTTTCGTGCAAAAAATAATACTGTCAGTACAAGTGAAACATTCCTGCAGCAGCTGGGTTCCAACCTTTATCACCTAATCAAGTACGGTAAAAAGAGAGAAAAAAGACTGATTGTCCAATTTCCCCCAACATATTCGGATTACAGTTGATATTTTCTTTAATATGTATTTTATTGAGTTCAGCCAGCCTAAAGTGGTCCTTTTACACTGGGTAATGACTAGATTTTAGAGAATACTCACAGGAAGTTATATATATAATTATTTTCTGAACACAGAGTAAGAGGATGTTTCTACAGACTCAAAAAAGGTCTGAACCTGAATTAACAAACTGGTATTTCCAGAGATTATTCCTATTCTTAGCCTCAGACCAGTTATAGTTATAAAACCAGTCAAACTCGGATTCAATTCTTGGTATTAACACAAACCCCTTGTGTTTTCTTTTTTGTGCGCAGCTAAATGGCAATGGTCAGAGATGTCCCTTACAAAGCAGAGGCTTTGTGCTTCTAACTATTGCTAACAGAGAAGAGGTCCTGAGTCACCATCTTTATAGTCTCTGGATTTGCACAAGTGTTTATTTACTGTCTTGCACTTATGCACATCTTAGGAAACATAGGCTACTACAGGAGCCCCAATATAACTAAAAACTAGCATAGTTAGCAGCTCTAAAACACATTAGTACTATGCAGCAAGCAAAAAAAGCCCTGAGGGATTTTTCTAATAAGCTTTGAAGTCTGATAGACTGTCTTACTTAACCAACAGAAAACATCTTGAAAACATCTTGAAAAAAATTAAAAGTCTGCTACAGATAAGGGAGATCATTATCCTTTCCTGCCACATTCCTTGTTACTTTTATCTAACCACAGACCCAT